AAAAAAAAAAAGTAGACTGAAGAAACAGAGCTATGGTACAATATTCCCACTAACTGCAGGACTTACCTAAAGGAATCAGGAATTGAAATCTCACAGCAGTATCGGAAGTCTGATTCACAGAAAACCATGAAAATATCACCTTGAAAATGCTTATGGAAATGCTACAAATATTAGTGCTTATCTTCCCAGTACAGCAGTAGTTAATAAATAATAATTATGGGAGAAGAAACTCCATTATATTATTACTTATTTTTATTATTACTTATTTTTATTATTATTATATCAAAGTGCCCAGTAATAACTGTTACCTTCTGTCTTTGGCCAAGAACAATCCATCTGCTAAGTTCTTTCTTCAGTTCCTGTTCGTATTTCCTCACATCTGCCTTTTTTATTACTACTTTATTCTTGAAACAGACGAATGCCTCAGGATCTAGCTCCTGGAAAACAACATTAATATAAAACATTGCAGTACTTTGTTATCAGTTTATTTTGATCCATTTTGCCTACAGCTGCGTATACACACCTGGGCCCTCGGCCACCCTCGCCAGACTTTTACCATTGTGTCGTAAAGCTGGATGCTCTCTCGTGGAGACAGAGAAAGATCTGATGGAATGCCATAGTTCTCAATCTGCAAGGAGTTTAAACAAAAGAAAAATAACCGTTCTGATGGAATCCATGTTACCCAACTGTAACAGTTACTATGCAAGGTTGACCCCAGTATTATGCTTACGTGATTCACTGTTAATGCAGCACACGGATGACAGTGTTCAATGAGAAAATCCTTGCTCTTTAGAGAACACACATACTTTTCCAAATCGTTGTATCTTTCTTCATACAAGACTGTGAAGAGACAAAAACATTGTCATGATGCACTTGGTTGTTTTAAAAAGTACTTATTCCTGCAAGACTTGTTTTTACTTATAAGAAAATTCAAAACCAAATATGCTTATGTTCACACACCATGGTAAAAGTTTTTGCAGAATTTATTCTTAGTTACAAAATACTGTGACACGCACCAAGTCTAACACGGTATGATTGCTTTTGCTCTTGTACTTTAGATTTCCCTTTATATTTTCTTGTAAAGTTCTTCTCAGAGTTTGTAGAGCTTCTTTCTATTCTACTCTCAGCACGTTGCCAATACCTTTTCACGGACTGTAACCACCTACAGTGCACACATAAAATAAAAATAAGTGGCAAAATACATTTTAAAAGTGCGACAGCTACAATAGATGAATAACTACAGTCTGCTCAGTTTCTCCTATATAATTTCCAATCCCCTATCACCATCTTCAGTGCAATGCTCTTGAGCTGATCCCAGGATGCAAATAAAAAATGTGAAATAGCACCATTATACATATATAAACATAGTGGAGGTGTCTTCTCTGATGGATAATGGACAAATGTGCTTATCAGGCTTTGGCAATTCAAACAGATGCAAAACCACCAAAATCCCTCTGCACAGCTCAATTACAGGGTCTGAAGAAACAAGTAGCGCTTTTTCTCATTATGGAGTTAAGAGTTACAGTACCATTTTTTGTCAGTTGGGGGAGTAAGGGTAGCATAATACATAGAGCAATATAACTCCGAATCAGTTGTCTCCCAATAGTAGTTGCCCTCTCTATCTAGACCCACTCATATCTGATTTAAATATGCTCTTGTGAGCAAGAAAATCCCACACGTACTCTGTTAGGTGTTCTGGATTACTGACAGTGGCAGAGAGCGCCAAAAACGGACATCGAATTGTTACCAAAAGGTGCTCCCAAACCTCTGCTCCAATTTCACCACCAAGACAATGGACCTATGTTTTTGGGAAAAAAGATGCAAAGAAAATAAGAAGTGTTCCTTATCAAAGTGCACCTAGAACATAAGTTGGTTTGTGTTTTACAAAAAACCAAAGTTTGGCAAGATCAATACTGAATAATTTTTATATTGTAGAAAATGACCACAAGATCCAGATCAAATGTCTAGCAGACCCCTCTCCAGACTTCACTGGACAGCAAATCAGTGTAAAATTTCAATACTACATTCACTGTTTGTACCCCAGATACTCACTGGCACTATTAGCAATTAATTTTATACACAAGAAAGAACACAGGAGGAATTCTAAATTTGGCAAGATTAATTACTGACTTTTCCCCTGGAATGAGTGACAAATACAGTATGATGTGAAATCTGTTCAGTCCCAGTCTGTACTGTCCTATTTGTGCCACGGAGACTATACAGTGGTGGCTTTTAGTTTTTCAGCTGACTGGCTTGAGAAAAATAAAGGAAGCTGCTGGTAGCTTTAACTGAAACATATGTCCTTTTGAGGACCAACAGAGTTTTAAGTTCTTTCACTGAAGCATATAAACACAATCAGCAAACAGGAAAAAGTAATTAAGTCTGGAATAATATTCCTGAAAGTTTGGGGGTTTTTTTTTTGTTTTTTTTTTTTTTTTTTTTTTTTTTAACCAGCAATAATATACGTAATTAAAACCTGGCAATTTTCTTCCAGATTGTCCATAAATTTGTTACATTGGTTACTACGGAAGATGCTTACCTCATCAAATATAACATATTGTATCTGCTTGACCCACTTCTGGCAATGAGGAGACAGCATCAGGATTTCTAAACATTGAGGCACAGTCACTAATATCTAAGATGAAAGGTTCGTAAAGCATTATTTTCAAGTAAACTGACTAATCAGCTACAAGTAGACCCTGTATTTAAAAAGCATTCAAAACCATACATACATATTTGATTTCAAGGTAAGCAAGATTACATGAATGATGTGTCACTGCTATCTTAAAGAATGGCAAGAAAGAAAACCCAGGAAACTAACTACAGACTAGTCAGCCTCACTTCAATGCCCTGGAAGATAACCAATCCTGGAAATCATTTCCAAGCATGAAGAACAAGAACGAACATGAAGAACAAAAAAGTCATCATGAGCATTCAGCATGAATTCAGCAAGGGGAAGTCAGGCTGACCAACCTTGCCAAACTTCTATCATGAAATGACTGGCTTGGTAGATGAAGGGGGAACAGTGAATATTGTCTTCAGTAAGGCTTTTGACACCACCTCTAAGATCTCCGTAGACAAGTTGTTGAAGAATGGGCCAGATTAGCAGACAGTGAAAGTGCTGGACTGAAAACTGGTTGGAAGGCTGCGCTTAGAAGTTGGTGATAAGTGGTACGGTCTAGCTGGAGGCCAGTAACTAGAGTTGTACTCCAGGGGTCAGTAGTGGGTCTGATCCTGTTTAACATCTCTGTTAATGATCTGGTTGATGCGGAAAAGCATACCCTCAGCAGGTTTGCTGATGACATCAAACTGGGAGGAGCATCTGATATGCCAAAGGCTCATGCTGCCATCCAGAGGGACCTAGGCTGGAGAAATGTGCTGACAGGGACCTCATGAGGTTCAACAGGGAGATGTGAAAAGTCCTATACCAAAGGAGGAACAACCCCATGTACCAGTGTATGCTGAAGGCCATCCAGCTGGGAAGCAGCTCTGCAGAAAAGGACCCGAGGGTCCTGGTGGACACCAAGTTGAATATGAGGCAGCAATGTGCCCTTATGGCAGAGAAGGTTAATGGCATCCTGGGCTGCATTAGGGGGAGTGTTGCCAGCAAACCAACACAGGGAATCCTTCCCCTCTACTCAGCACTGATGAGGCCACACCTAGAGTTGAGGTTCTGGGCTCTCCACTAGAAGAAAGACCAACCTAGTGACCTTCTACGATGGAGTGACTATATCAGTGAACACGGGAAGGGTTACTGATGTATTCTATCTGGAATTCTGTAAGGCACCTGCTGTGTGTTGGCAACCAAAGGATTTTAATGTTTTTCCTTTTAACCAGAGCAAGTTATCAACTGCATGCCCCCTAAGGACGACTAGGTAAGGTTATATGCCATATACCGAAACTTTCTAGTAAGCAGTACAGGTAAGCTTAGATTTTTCTTGAACTTTGTATTTAGTAATGGTACAATTGCTGTAATTAGAATTAACATTTTCAGAAGCCAGACAGAATGCATAAATCATTATTATGATGTGTTAGAACACCCATTAAAAGTACCTGAGAATTCATGACATCATGGCGATAATCGCGTGTGAAGACTCCACACAGTACCAATCCATCCGGAAGTTTCTTGGTGAACCGACTGTATACAGTTCCTACCACTTGGTTTACAAGGGCCTTAAATAAAGCAGGTCATTAACAAAACCAGACAGTGTATCTCTAAAGACATATGGTATTCTGAGACATGCAGAAGCATTCCTTTTTGGCACCAATATTCACATACTAGACTATAATACATACCATGTCATGTTCTGTTAAGTCTAGACTGTCAACAGTGTTAACTTTAAAGATATGGTACTTGATATTTTTGCTTATAGAAAACAATCCATAGAGATTGTTAGGTAATAACATGTATTTCACTATCCAAAAATTCAACAGCATTCAAAATAAGTTCTGGATAAAATCAAAACATTGGGCCTTAGCACTTAAGTCAGTTTTTAACTATTAAAAAATGAGTTTTTAACTCATTAAAAAAATATTTCACTGCCTAGAGTTTCTGAAATTGTCTCTCGAAGCATCTAATGGTGAACTTACTGAGAAAAAGATGACTTAGAATCATAGAATAGTGAGGGTTGGAAAGGACCTTAAGATCATCTAGTTCCACACCCCCCCCCACCATGAGCAGGGACAACACACACTAAACTATGTTGCCCAAGGCTCTGTCCAACCTGGCCTTGAACACTGCCAGGGTTGGAACATTCACAGCTTCCTTGGGCAACCTATTCTAGTGCCTCACCACCCTCACTGTGAAGAACTTCTTCCTTAGATCTAATCTAAACTTCCCCTGTTGAAGTTTAAAGCCATTACCCCTTGTCCTACCACTAGAGACCCTAATGAAGAGTCCCTCCCCAGCATCCTTGTAGGCCCCCTTCAGATATTGGAAGGCTGCTATGAGGTCTCCACGCAGCCTTCTCTTCTCCAGGCTGAACAGCCCTAACTTTCTCAGCCTGTCTTCATAAGTGAGGTGCTCCAGCCCCCTTATCATACTTGTGGCCCTCCTCTGGACTTGCTCCAACAGCTCCATGTCCTTTTTATGTTGAGGACACCAGAACTGGACACAATACTCCAAGTGAGGTCTCACAAGAGCAGAGTAGAGGGGCAGGATCACCTCCTTTGACCTGCTGGTCATGCTTCTTTTGATACAGCCCAGGATATGGTTGACTTGCTGGGTCATTGTTCCATTCAAACATTACTTTACCATTCTGGTAGGCTTTGAGGCATTCTCAGCATTTACTTAAAATGTTACTTTTAGCACTTCTGTATATATTAGTTTTTCTGACCTTAAATTAGTTATATAAATATGAATAGACAAAAATCCTACGTAAGCTTAAATATTTTAAAGATTTTTTTAAAACATGCTGTTTCCATGTAAAACAGAACATAAAGATGCCATTTCTAATAAAAAAATTATGTGTGTGTATATATATATCTCAACAAGATTTGTGTTACAAGCTACCCCCAAACAGTTTCAGAATCACACTGAGAAATATAGTCATATATATAGAGTACGTAGTAGGATGATGCAACTTTACCTTTGTAGGAGCAACATACACAACCACGCCTTCATTGCTTGTTTTCAGAACTTTTTCCATGCAATAGTATGATACATATGTTTTTCCTGACGAAGTGGGAGCAACAATCACTGCAGACTCATTATTATCTACAGCATCAAGAAGTTCCCGCTAAGAGAAAAGAAGTTACTTACGTCAAAATGTCTTGCTAGGAAGTTCTTATTGATTAAACCAGCTCTTTCTATGATAACATCTCCTATTTTTGCGCATAGACTTTATACACAGATTTTAGACTAGAGAAAGTCAGAGTTAACCTGGCTGGTTTATGGCTCTATTCTTTATTCTTACACTGGTAATAGGCAGAAAAAACAAATACACACAAAAAAAAAAAACCCCAACAAAAAAAACCCCAACCAAAACAACCCAAAAAAACAAACACTGAACAAGGAACTACAAATTCTAACTTGTCTATTTCAATTATTTGGTCTGAAATACTGATACTGAAACTTTCTGAATCCAAACCGGGACACAGTCAAGTTAAAAAATAAAACAGTTAACTAAGCAATGTATAATTTAGTTTCAAAAGCTTCATTATCATAGAATGGTTAAGGTTGGAAAGGGCCCTAAGATCAACACCAACCCCACTGCCACGAGCAGGGATGCCTCACACTAGACCATGTTGCCGAAGGTTCTGTCCAACCTGGCCTTGAACACTGCCAGGGGTGCAGCATTCACAACTTCTTTGGGCAACCTGTGCCAGTGCCTCACCAGCTTCACTGTAAAAAATTTCTTGCTGTTTTATGTAAGGCATTATTTGTTTTCTTGCATTATAATAGTTACATCAGTATGGTCCAAATCTCTCTTCTGCTCCTATACAGCTTTTAGTAATCTGTTTCCTTCCCTATTACGGTCATCTTCCATGCTCTCTCACCTTACACAGATCTGTGAAAGGATGGGGGAAGGGGTACAGAAGAGGAAACAGAAATAGTCCTAACCCTATCTTTCTCTATCAGCACGTATGACAAGTTCCAACTTGGTTTTTAAGCAATTGTTTTGCAGAGATGGAGATGCAAAGCAGTAAATTCAGATGGCCCCCCCAGTCGAGTAATTAAAAAACAAAAAAATCTGAGTTAGACTTACTCTGCTTTAGACAGAGAAGTTATTTGTAAAGTCATACTATGGGTAATTCTTTGGGGACAATGAACAGAGGATGAATAGTCAGAGATTATCCAGAGATTATAGGGTGCTACCACCATTACATACAGTAACAAGCAGTGAAATCCCACAGATTCAGCATTTCTTATGTTGAATTCCTTATGCCAAGCTCTTTAGAAAAGCTCTCAGTATAGGAACAATATGGAATGCAGGCTGATCTACTGAATTTGTTAAACTTAGCACAAAATTAAATTTGTTAAACAACACTATTTTTGACAAGTAGTATAATAATGGGTATTTTTAAATGGGAAAAAAAAATATCAAAGGTAACTTCCATTAATTTTATGCTAAAAGTTTGCATCTCATTACCTGCCATGTGTCAGGTATGAAATGTTGCACTCGGGGATCAGGATCATGCCTCTCTTCTCTGAGCAAGTAATAATCCATGTATTGTAGCTGAAAGCGAGCTGGACCCACTTTGACAGCATAGTTGCTAATCTTCATATCATTACTTTCTGCTGCCTATAAGGTCAAATGAAAATTCAGTCTGGTTTGAAAGTAGCAAGAGATTGAGAAAATGGCACATCTTTTGCTTTGTGGAACTGTGCAAGCTTTGAAAAAACATACAAAAGTGCAGGCAACTTTAAAGTAGTTTCTTGCAGAAACCCAAACCATAATAGCCTTATATCAGTGCTTTGCTTGTATCTCTTCAAAGGAGACTATGTCCCAAAAATACTATGTTTTCCATAACCAGTGCTTACAGTGTTTTTGTTGTCTGAAGAGGCAATAAATCTGGCTAGCAGGCAAAGCTCAGCCTCTTTAAGCTATTGCCTGCTAGAGCCTTCTCATTATACATTTACTTCTCTACTTCAGCCTGCCCTGATCCCTCATGCAACGAATCACAGTTGCAAAAGGAAATGCAATGCAAAGACTGAGTGTTAGCCCAGATTTCATATAGCACTATATTTTTAAACAGTGCCTGTATTCCCCAAGACATACCAAATTTAATATTCATGAACGTGTCTAGTTATAACAACTAATCCTGAAATCTCTGTAGAAAAAACATTACATGTACAACATACATTAAAAGATGAGAGAATCACATAATAATTTAGGTTGTCAGGGATGTCTGGATGTAATTTAATCCAACTCACTGCTAGAAGCAGATGTGATTAGACCAGGCCACTCAGGGCTGTGTTCAGCTGAGATTTTACTATCTCCAAGGATGGAGATTTCAAAACTTATTCAATTTCTTGAAAGAAATGTTTACAGTAATTCCTAAAATTCCCCCAACTTTGCAAAATTAATCATCAGAAACAAGTAGCTGCAAAAGCAAAAGTAGGTCCTAAATCCACTGACTGATGTTCAGCCCTTCCAAGCAAGACATAAAACTTGCCAACATAACCTTTCTATCACCACAAACCTTTACAACAGACATTTTGAGACCTCCGATCCTAAATCCTGAAATATAATTTATTTGGGGCACTAAACACCCTTACAGTAACTATGTTGCCAAGAGCAAACAATCACCGTATCACTGAATTCACATAGAAAGAGACAAATAATTTCCATTCTTCAACGGAAGAAAGTTTCTTACAAAAGAAATCACCTCCTCCCTTCACCTTAGTCCTGATCCTCAAGGAAGGAGGATAAACACTTTTCAGAAACAAGCTTCCAAAAATTCTGAACTCTACTGTGCCTGAAAAATGAGACACTGAAGTGACTGGTATTGGTTTTACAGTTCACTACAGTCTTCCTTCCTTTTGCTATTGATTCATGTTCTGCAGGTTGAGAGTTACACCCTACCTCTTCTGCCTGAGAGCCACTTTAGCATCCCCTCTCCCTACCAACAAAGATATCAAACCACTCTTAACATTAAATCAGCCAGTGGGCAGGTTGCTAACATGCAGAAAAGCAATAGGTCAATCCTTAGAGAAATTACTTTTGAGCCATATTCAGTATAGCTACTGGTGGTCTCAACTGTGTAGGAAGGACAAACAAGGTTTTAGATTTAGGAATCAAAATAGTATCTAAAATTACCTTCAGAGGTAATCAGTAATACCATAACTGATGAAAACAAACAAACTAGTTTTCATCTACTGCAGGCTCAAAGATTTCCTTCTCTAAAGTAGCACATTTGGGCCAGTTAGAGAGCAGCTCCTCATCACTTAGCTTATAAGAGTTATTTTTAATATGCGGAGTTCAGCTGATGTGATGAATTGAACAGCAGGTACCTCTCAGAGATGTCTAAGGCCTCAAGCAGATTAACTAGAGCAAATATTAATGCATGTTTGTTTCAAAGGATGTCTTTGCACCCATATAAAGTTCTGTTTACTAAAAGGGAAGTGCTCTATTGTGCCAGCTAGCTCTCTTATCAAGGAGAGAAATGATCTGTGGAACTAAAAAGATTAGTATCTGAAGCAAGAATAGATATTCCCAAATCTATGGCACAATAAAAAATAAAATAAGCCCAATACAGATCTTCTACACGCTACTCAATGCTTAAAAAAACACTGTTGATGTTCAGCCACAGATCCGGTTTTATAAGAGAATCATTACAGTCTACAAACTTACCTGGCCAGATAGGGAGCATGCCAAATTTTCAAATCCAAGATATCTAAGACATCTGGTCAGCTTTTCTAGATGTGGTTTCTCCAACATATCTTGGTATTTTTCAAGGAGGATGTGAAGTCTCCTCATGACTTGAACAGCTTTGCTTAAATCTTTATCTTTGTTGCCTTAAAAAGAAAAAAAAAAAAAATCCTACAGATATCTGGGAGCTGATCCTATCATTGGGAATTTTCCAATATTAGGTATTTTTAGGACAGACCTCATCCATCCAACCAGATTTATGACAATTAAAAAATGAATTTTATTTGAAGACAACCCACCTCTGACAAGCAGTGCTACTGAAGTCCAACCACCCAAATAATTCTATCTGCTTCTGCACACTCAGCTATAAAGAGAAGTTACACTTCTGACATCTATGCAATAACTGAGCTCCCCCATTTCACCTTCCTGACTGACACATTTGTCACTCAATCTTATTAGCAACATATTTCACTCCAGTGTTTACAACTCTCCCCAACACTTTTAAAGCAGTGTCTCTTTGGACTCTCCTGACTGTATGGACTGAACTAGTTCATTCTGGTGACCCAGGAGGCCAGTAAACCATGGCAGCACAGATCTCTCTACAAATCGCCATCAGACTGTGAGCTAACCACCTCAGCTAATTAAACAATCCTCTGCAATACAGATGCATTTTAGTGTGCACGATACATAATCATTAAAGATATATACAATAAGATAAATTATGTATGCAATGTCTACAAAGCAAAACAGGAAAGCATCTACAATCTAAGTTCATTGGCTACTTTGCAGCTGACTCAAAGGATGTTTTAATTGCAAAAGTGGACCAGAGCCTGTTAATACTTAAAACCACCTTCCATGCTACTGAAAGAGGGCTGTATTTACACATCTTTATTCCAGCTGAGAATGTCCAAGTCAGTCACTCCTGGTGAAAGGGAGTGGAAGCTGAATAATGAACGTGAATTGGGCTATCGTACCTTGTGTTCTGCAGTGTTGCTTCCACACTTCTAAACAGGCAGACAGTCCTGTCATTTCTACACTGAACTTCACAGATTTACTTTTAAGGGTCTTGAGAAACTTCTCCAGTTTATTTATTCCAACAGTCACATCTGCTTTTATTTCTTTTTCAGTTGGTATACACAAGGCTTTCCATTGCTCCTCTTCTTTCTTTTCTTCTTTAGCCCTTAGTCGCCTGTTGTTTTCCTCTGCAATTGCTTCCGCTTTGCTTTTCTAACCAATAAAAGGAAAATATTTATAACTAATCATCACTGTCTGCAAGCATCATTTAAAAAAGCTAAGCCATAAACTCAGAGAAGGTACATTAGAGTTTTCAATTAATCTGTGTGATGCATTGTGTTTTGTGAATCATTTCAATTAGTACTTCATTTTGAAGGAGATACAATTTCTGAATCCCAATATACATTCCTCAAAAAAACCTTAATTTTATGTCAGTGTAAAGCTTCACAAACAGTATAAAAAAGCACAAATGTGGAAAAACAAAAGAGCAGTTGTCTTGATTTATACATAGGTAATTCTGATTGTATTGAGATGCTTTTCAATAAATTAAATAAAATTAAGCATTCAACATTACTCGAAGTTAACAAAATTATGTCCTGTTGAATTACCTGTAAAAATCTGTATATAAAATAATCTACAATCCATAGTACAGGCTATTGTGAAGTAGTACTCAAGTTACTGTTGCTCAGTATTTGTTGATCATGAGTATGCAAGTACAGTCTACATACCCTGTCATGTCTGAAAATGTTCACCTAGTTAGGATTAATTGCAATATCTAAAGGATCTTTCACAGAAAATGTTTCCAAATAGTGCAGGGAAATAAATAACTGAATAATGTTTCTTCCTGTATTCCTCATCAGTTTCTTAAAGTAAAATTAAATTCATTAACCTCATTTTCTTTCACTCCACATTATAATACTGGCAATGAGCCGAAACCTATCAGCCTTTACAGAGCTCGCATTTATTTATTTGTTTTTTATTTACTTGTGCCTGTTAAAATATAATCACTCATGGCTAATTCTAACTAGGAATAAAAACACATTTGCCAATTAGCTAATTAAATTTGAAGTACAAAGGCAATTTAAATCTCTTCAACCAAGAACTCCCAGTGCATTGAGAACATAAAACTTCAGCCATGGGACTCATATAGTCAAAATCCTTTCTGTATAAGAGAAAAAAGATTTGGAAAGGGCAACTTGAATATACTCACATGCTTCTTTTGGGTCTTTTTGACCGCAGCATTAGCACTCCCTGGCACATCCTTTTGCTGTACAATAAGTTTTGAAGTGGTGTCTTCCAAAGTGCTTCCGTAAAAATGATGAAAATACTGTAACTTCTGAATTTGTCTTCTTTCTGCTGGATCTTTGGATTTCGCTGCAAGCAAACATAATTGATTGAAAAACACTCTGACAGAACTCCAGCCTCATTTATTTCCAAGAAAAGATAACTAGGCAATGGATAAATTTCCTTAAATTTTCTCATTGACCTAAAGGCCAAAACCACATTTTGAATGAGGTTGGCTAGTTAAGACTCACTGAAATGCAATAGTACTTTGAATTATCTGAAAGATAGGCAATAGACTCAAATTCAAACTACTTCAAGCATGTATTTAAAATATTGGAAAACTTCACAAGCAGGATGCCTGGAAAGAAATTACAACTATTTGAGAAAAATGCCCAAGCTTCTCACACAGGCCGTGAAAACAGGAAGGTGTCTTCCAAAGGCAATTCAGATGATCAGAAAGAGATGTCTTCCCCACAAAAACAAGAGTCCATCATCAGAGCATAAATAAATACAGCTTCCAGAAGAACATGTATGCTAGCCAATGGAAGATACTGAACTGAGCACATGAATATTTCTGCACTCAAGCCTAGGTATTTCTCTCTGCCCTAAAAATGAAAATGATGAGTCAGTTTCTGATCTTTCTGTTTTTCACAAGACAGACTGAAATGACACATGCCAGCATTCAGAGCATTCATGTACAGGAGACAGAGGGCCCTCTTTTCAGTTGGAATAGACGGACGTAAACCTTGAACTCCAACATTACAGAAGGTGCTCAAGCTACTACTCCACAGGTTACATTCTGCAAACTTCCCATTGAAATCACAGTGCACTGAAGAATGCAAAAAAATCATCCAGTCAGAAAGATAAGCAGATGGGAATGTAACATGAACACCTTACCCCAAGTACTCATTCTGTTATACTTGTTAGACCTATTTAAGATAATACACAAAGCATACACACAATGCACAGGCACATCAGCTTAAGTGTAATTTAGTTACTGCAGTAGCTCTGATTTGACAAGTATTTGCAGAGCAGCAACTATTCTCTGAAATAAGTCCTTTTCCAAAACCACAGAAACATTTATGATATTGTTCTAGCCAACACAGACACATGGGCTTTGTGTTAGTTTTTCTTACCATCAGCAGTGCACCGTACTCGCTCATATTCCTCAGTCAAAGGTCTGCCAGAATGCCAGTGACGAAGCTCATCAAATTCCTTGTATTTAACAAGTGAAGTAACTGCAGGATCATTGCTGAAATATACAAACATTAAGCAGAGCATAAATTACAAGCATCTTCTGGCATATCTAATGAAACATTCAAAACAAACAAACAAAGGATATTTATCAAAACACAATTTTACTGTGGCAGAAAATCAACATAGGGTTTAATTTTACACCAAATATATTATGTCAATATACTGAAATCATAGAATGGTTTGGGTTAGAAAGAACCTTAAAGATCATCTAGTTGCAACCACCCTGCCATGGCCAGGGACACCCTTCACTAGATCAGAGTGCTCAACACCCCATCCAACCTGGCCTTAAACACTTCCAGGGATGTGGCATCCACAACTTCTCTGAGCAACCTTCCTCTTTGTCAGGATGCATTGCTCCTAAGCTTGGAGAAGGTGATCCTTGAATATTATCCAGCTTTCTAGGGCTCCTCTTCCCTCAGTTTTTCAGAAAGTATTACTTCAGAAATTTCAGAAGTAAAACCCCAGTTTGTCACTTATTTTCATACAGATTAATCACAGATTGCAAGGCAACTAAATAACTTGTATGTTGCCTAAAAAACACTCATTGTGCAGCACAGAAACCAGTTCCACAAGCAGCAGAGCAGACGTAAAGGATAATCTCTTCTTACTTTTCCAGTATTTTCATTTAATGTTTGCCTTTTCCCGAAATCAATCAGAACTTTGCAATTTAGAATAAGCTTTTACAAAGACAAATTGTACATTTAGAAAAACAGTAAAACAGTTCCAAAATATAAAGTAAGAATCAACAGACTATAACGCCAATAACAGCATAAAAAAAATATGGACATACTCATTCTTTTCCATTCTTGTTCCGAATCAGTTACGAGTACATGTAAATGGGAAATTTTACCCAGTCATAGCGAAAGCACTTCTACATTTGTGCAAATTGAGTATAACATGGATGTAAAGTGCAGGGAAGCAGAAAATAAGCCCGTATGTTATTTCACTAGAATAAAACTCCTATACGTACCTTTTTAAAACAGGTAGGTCTTTCAAAACATCTCCAGCATAATCTTTAACGAGATCAGATTCCACTGAGATTAGTCCAATGTTAGGAGTTTCTTCTTCATACTCTTTACAGTTTTTAAAAAAAAATATTGTTCAGTTAAGAATATATATAATTGCATATTATACTTGAAAATTCTGCCAAGTTGCACTGTAAAGTCTATAAAGCAAAATTTGCTACAAGTCAGCAGCCCCTTTTCCTGTTTCTTCTCAAGCACGGAAAGAAGAAAGAAGCAGACATCGTTATGCTTCCAAGCAGATATTCTCATGATCCATTTCAGACACCTACACTAACTTTTCAAATGCTACAACCTATCCTATCTCACGGGCATTTACTTTCTGCACTGATTCTAGGAGACCATAGTCTCCTAAATATGCACTTTCAACTGCACTTGCATTAGATGACTGGAGATGACATGTAACATTGTTTATTCCTCACACATTTGAAGCCTAGCCATAACTTCAGTCTCCAAGGTGTCCAAAGGAGATACAAAAATGGGCAACACAAATGCTGTGTCAGAAGGGGTCTTAATATCCCGTGGATAACAAAGAAACTGGGTGGGTTTTTGCCCACTAGAGCCCACTTGACATCTTTGAAACTAGCAGAAGAATACCCACAAACTTAACTAGAATTATATTCCAGCTTTTACTGAATTTCCTTTTAAAGATAAAACCAAACTTCTGAAGGTTGTAACAAAACTGGTTCTCAAGAAATATCAGGTATCAGGCAAAAGTCTTTACCTACTCCTTTCAGATATTCAGAACAGATCTTGTAAGTAAGGGAAGAAAACAATCTGAGCCAACTTTGCACTTCTCCAATTACAGGCTACTAAACAGGATAGTGGTTTAATTTAACACACTTACAGGCAAGTCACATTTTTACAGTCCTCAAGGACTGCAATATGAGCTACAGTGATGGCTGGACTCTCTGCCATTAGGGCAACGATTGTTTATTTCACTTAGTTTACTGCTCCCATGCCCAATATCTGTATAACCCTATATCAACATACACAAAGATGCTCTTCAGAGGCATTCTTCCTCCAGTATAATTGTTACTTTAATTATGAGTAATTATTATGCTTTTTACTATTATTTGTATTGCACTTATCCTTATGTTTTTTACAATACACACAATAGATTTGAGCTAGCAATCATGGAACTAAACCAGATTCCTACTGAAACCAACAACAATATTTCTGCTGTCTACTGTAGAGTCAGAATTTCACCTATAAGGCCTGGTCACACTTATTTTGGCATCAGCAGTAAGCTCTGCTAGTGTGTTGAAAGGAAGGAGGAGAGGATCCATGGAGCTTGGATAAGATTTGTGATCAGGATAAAATCAGATCACTACTGCTAGAACTTTTATAGTGATAGCAACAAAGATCATGCTTCTAACTCTCTAATATGTGCAGTTGTGAATACCTCTAAAAAATGTATGTTGCTGATCAAGAAATGGTCGGGAGCTGTTTCGTATTGGAAAAGCATCTCCAAAACTGTATTTCACAGCCAATTTTCTTACAGTGTCCCACAAACATCGGTATGCATCCTCCATTTCTTTCCCCAGTTCCTTTTTGAACTTTAATCCTGCACAGGGAAGCAAGAAAGAGGGAAAGGGGGAAAAAAAATAATTAAAATAGCACTTTAAAATTAAGTTTCCTCAAACAGAGCCTACCTATTTCACCTATGCAGCATCAGACACAGACTTCAGTCTTATCCAATGTCTTTGGTCATCAGAACAAATTAGAACAGAATGATATACACTCACAGTTTTTAATAGCCCAGGTATAACTAACTATATGTACCAAAAAGATGTGTTTTGGCAAAAACATATGATTTAAACTATGTGCAGAAGTCTACAAGCTCCACAGCTATCCTCCTGCAGGGTAGGATCTTGAATTTTTTTTTAGCGCCCACTAATAGGTATTACATTTCATATTCCTAATTTATATTTCCTTTAAAAATTCCTCTGCACTTGCTTTACTGAAGTACATACAGGAGATCTTGTGACTAGACACATAAAGAAAGTGTTCTGGTTTACTATCGGACAAACTCATGCCAGAGGAGTTCAGATAAATGGAATTACTCTGAAAGACCATCTGCTACAAATCTTCTTCCCTACTTCCTTGCTCTGTCAGCTGTTGTAACTTTTTTGTGAATCTTAACACATCTGATGGTGTTCTCAAAGCTCCGGTTCCCAAATTCATGTATTTGTAAGATAATACATGTTTTTGTTTGAATCAATCTCATCTGAAATTAAAGATATTATCCAATGTCACAGTGACACTAAGGATAGTATCTGGTTTCCATTCTGTGTTGCACTAAGACAAAATGAAATGGATAGAAAACTGGCTAAAAAACAAATGGTTGAGAATACTCAATAACAGTGACCCAGAGCTCTTACTGCCTATGCTGTATCACTCTTCCTCTGCGTATGTACATGTGGTACATAGAAGACAGGATACGGTAAAGTATTCTGAATGAGTACTGGCAAAAGACACTTTCACATGTGATCTTTTAGACTTGGCTATAGAAAGAAGTTTCCCTATTATGCCATAAAATGTATCATTACATGGGTAATTAGGAAAAAGTGCTCATTCCT